TGAATCAGTTGTGGGCCACTCGTCCTCACTAGTGTCCGATCCGGAGCCGGAGCCGGAACTCTACAGCCTGGTTACTTCCGGGCTCTGGTACCTTTTCGTTGGGCTCCGGCACCGCCTACTTCTGTTGCGGGCGGGCTGTTCCGCCCCTCTTGGCTCGCCCCGCCTTCTACTCACGGAGGCGCATTTTTTGAAATGGCCGCTCTGATTGGTTCCCAGCGCCTCACTCGGGCCTCCCTCACCTGTCCGGTCACCCCCACCACCTTTCTCCTTCTTGCTCTCCTCCCCCTCTTGTTTATCTAACAGTTCCCGTCTGTTCTTGTTCTCCTCCCCCTCTTGTTTATCTAATGGTTCCTGTCTGTTCCTACCGGGAGCATCCTCGCCCCACCCTTCTTCTTGTGGCTCAGCACCATTTTGGGGGGCATAGGGTGGTGGCCTGACCCAGACTTCCCCAAGGTCTGACTTTCTTTCGATGTTCCTAGCTTCCTCGGCTAGCTCGCCCCAAACAGATTTCGGCTGTTTCTGCTCCTCTGTAAGCGGGACGGGGTTCGGGGACTGAGGGGACGTATCGCCCTCTTGCAGATCTTTAGGCTCAGCAGAATCGCCATCATCTGGGGGGTGCAAAGTCTGTGCGGTTGCCCCGACTCCCATTTTCGGGGTGGCCAACAAACAGTCCTTTACCGCCACCCAGGTCTCTTGCTCTTTTATAGCTTTCTGCAAGGCCTGTACAACTTTTCCCCAAGCCTTAAGGTTTTTCCCACAACACGAAGACATCGTCTCCTCGGCTAACGCCTTGGTACATTTGTCCCACACTTCAGGGTGGAGAATATCCACCGGCTGGTCTATAGCCTTAATTTTTAAAAGTCTCGCAACAGCGAGAGTAAAATCTTTTGGTTTACAATCAATCCCCCAATATTTATGTAATTGCGATACGACCTTCACAAGGGCTTCCATCCTCCTTGTTGGTCCGGGAGTGTCCTCCCCGCCAGGCTGGTCCAGCCGCTCCGGCCGCCATTCACCCGTCCAGGCGATGGGTTCTGGGCTTCAGCAACAC